ATAAAATATTTCAGGACCAATGTACTGTGTAATAAAGGTGGGAGTTTGACGTTTAAATTTCTCTGGCTAGTTCTAGTCCATAAGGATTGAAATTACATTGTTTTTTGCAAATTCATGGTCTAAAGGTTCCATAGTCACAGAAAAAATAATGCATTAATCTGATGGAGAAGGAAAATAGTAAGGTGGCGATGAGACTTTAAAAAAAAACTTAAGAGCTCTTGCACAGTTTGTATCCATAAAGGGAATAACTGGCTCGTGTGTTTTATGGCTTTAGTATTTTATCAGTGACTTCAAATATTTTTTATTTACCAAAGTAGGATAGCTTTGGTAACTTCAGAAATTGAATTTATTTCATTGTTACAGAAGAGTTGCCGATTTGAGCGCTTTCCTGCAGCACAGGTTTTCTTTTTGGGCAAACATTGATCTGGATGGGAAAATCTGTGTTATAGTCATTAGAAGAATAATTATAGAAGGCAGAGCCTTCTGTGGGAAAACAGTGTATCCAGCAACTGCTGTTCTCTACTGATTGTGTGTAGCAGCATAGAGCTGTGTATTTCGGGCACTGGAATTGGACTCAGCCTGTCTGTGAGAGCAAGGTTTAAAATAATTGTGTTGCTGCGTGTCTCAGCTGTGCAATGAAGGCTAATTCTAATGGACTAGTGTTGGAACTACATTATTAATAAACATTTGCCAAATCAGTGGAGTCTAAAACAGCAATTAGCATTGCAAATGGGATTTTAACTGTTGGACCTTTTTTGAGTGAAAGTCCAAGTTTCAGCCAATTACGGGTTTTAGAAAAGTTAAAAGAAGACAGCAAGAGCGAACGGAGTGTCTTAGGGTTAACCTCTGATATCAAAGCTACCCTCTGCTTCAGCCCGTAAAAGCTTTGATCATCATGAAAACCAGCTATGAATCTGTCTAGATAATAATCCTCATAAAAATTTGACATACAAATCCTCTGAAGTAAATTACAAGGTAGCTTTTTTACTATTAAATTCTGATGGAGCTCACATTATGCTAGGTGTACAGCATGCCATTATAGGGGCCTTTTCTGTTTCAGATGTTTTATGATAAAAGGTGAAAATGAACATTAACGAGCTTTGTGGGTAGTAGTATATCATTTGCTGTCTGGCCCACTAGTATTCCTATAGTTCACAGACACGAGGGTGAAAAGGAGTGTGCATAGAGATAGTCTCTTAATGTCTTAAAATATTAACATATCGAGATATTAAAAATTATTCTTAAAAAGATAAAAAATCACTTCTGTAAAATGGAAGCAATTCACAAGCTTGTTGATTTTTATTTTTTTTAATACTAGGTTGCCTGTGTGGTACGATTCATACCAATGACTCCAAGCCCTAACAGTAGATAAAGTTTGAATACTGGAATTTGATCTTGTTGGCTTCCTGTGCAACGTGGTAGTTTTTAAGCAGTGATTTTTAAGCAGCTTAAACTAAAATGCGCAGAGAGTAGTCACTTGCTGATGGCTTTCTACACAGTTGCCAAACAGTAATTCAAATGGGGTAGTACCTCATCTTTCTTTCCAAACCTACCTAACTTCTCAGATTTTGTGTTCCTCACCCCTGCTTTAGCAGGCAAAGAAGCTTGTGGTATATTCTTAATGGATAAAACGTTGGTTTTGTTGTAAGAAGTTGTAGGGAGATGTTTAGATAAATTTAGAAAAGCAATTCTTGGTTACTCTGGTTGCCTGTGTTCCACTCAGCATTTCACGGTAGTTTGGAGCAAATTCTGAGCTCATTTTAGCAGGAGACTTAAGATCAGGAGATGCTTCAGTGAATCCCAGAGCTACGATGTTGTCAGATGAAAGTGCAGTCCTTTACTCTTGCTCTCCTACAGCTGTGCCACCTAACTCACAGATGTATCATATATTTAAAACAAAACCTAAACCCCTTAGTCCTTGGTTTCCTAACCACATGCCTCTGCGGCTCTGGCATCACATTTGTGTGATGGGACTAATCAGAATGGTCTCTCCCTGGCCATTGGTAGTGCTAATTTTGATAGATTCTCGTTTCTTTTTGGCATAAAGCATAACATAAAGCAGGAAGCCAGCAATATTTGCCGAATACAGCTGCAGGATACAGTAGGTGTGAAGAACGGGCATTGCTTCTCAGGTAAATGTTTCTCTTCTGAGTAACCAAGACAGAAATGCCCGAGACAAACCTGATAGAGTTGTTACCTCTGTTAACTTTGAATGGTGCAGAGATGCACCCAGTGAGCATTTCCGTTAATGCCTTGTGCTGTGGTTACCCTCAAGAGATTTGAAATATTAGAGAGGACACGACTTAGTTTCAAAGTGTCCAAACATGTTGTCTTTTTACTTAGAAGCTTAGTTCAGATGGCAAAACAGATCTGTTAATCTGCTTAACCTCACTAGCAGTGGATAGAGGGAGAGGAGCATGTTTTTCTTAATGTAGCTGGGTCCTAACTCCTGCTGTTTGTTTCATGTGTGATGAGAGTACGCTGTTGGATCATATTCAGCCTGGTACCCACCATAACCACCACATCTTTCTCAGCAGAGCTGCTACCCAGTCAGTCAGTTCTGAGTCTCACCTGACACACCACTTCTTCCACTCGACATTTAATAATGTTTTAAAGCTGTGTCATGTAAGATCTGTGTTCTCCTTATGCTAATCAAGCCACGAGCTTCTTCCATTATCGGTTCCACTAGCTATCACAAAGCACTTTCTTCTTGTCTCTAAGAGATTTTGTGGGAAGGTGGGACTTCTTTGTGGACTTTGAACTTTTGGACTTTTGATTTATAGTCCTGAGCAAAGGGCAAGAATTTAACTCAAAAGTGGTGCGCCAACCTCTGAATGACACTTCTAAGCCTTACCACTGAAAATATTGAATCATGTAGTCATAGCATATTTCTTCTGCCTTGAAGTCATAATTAGATGGCCAAAATATTCGCCCTGGTAAAGTCATATTAAAACAATTTGGGACAATCAAGTACCTTCTTATTCTAAAATAAAATTATTGAAGTTGCATTTACTGACAGTAAAGTGCTCCCATCTGCAATGACAACTTTATGTTATTCTTCCTGGTGGGGACAGCTACAAAGACTTATATAAGTTGTAGGGTTATGTTCCTATGACAGAAAAATGCGATGCTTCTCTATGACAGATTTGTCTTCATTTATTCCTTTGTTATCATATTTTGAACCATGGAACTTCAAATGAGAACACTCATTATCCAGTTGTATTTTTTGATAATCTAAATGGAGGTCACTGAGAGATTGCTAAGGCCCTCGATAATAGTCACAGGAAAGATTTCTCTGATTATAGGTTTGTTAGAGACCTTCTTTGCTTTGAACTGTTAATGATGGATTGTTGATGAGAGCGCAAATGAATGTGCAAGAATGCTTCCTAATTTGCTTGCCCCGTGCAGCATACCTGTATTTCTCTGGAGACTAAGAGGTGAAGAGAAATATTATCCAACTGTTTCTCTTCACTCTCTCAATATGTTGTTAGTAATTATGTCAAGACAAGTTTATGACACGTATGTCTTTTAGCTATTTAAAGAGGCATTTTATGGGTGATTTTTAGTTATTAAGTTCAGTTATATTGTTAAAAGGCTAATAAAAAAATCTTTATTAAATTGGTTACACTACTGATTTTAAAATTTACAATAGCTTGTGGGTACATCTTCTTGATTCAAATTTATGTGAAAAAATGCAAGATTAAATAGCGGGAAACCTTGCTCAGGAGAGTTTGTGAAGGAAAACATATGGCTTATTAATCTTCCCTTATCCCCCTTCAGGCATGGAGATAGGTAATAAAATATGTCCTGACTCCTCTGCTTAATGTTGCTTCTGCTGCAAGTCAGCTTGATTCCTGCTATTTTTCTGTTCTGTTTGTACAAATGAATGGGCAAGAAGTGGGCAGAACAGAGAGGGAATGAGGAGACCTGTGGCTCTTTCCCAGCTGTTCACAGCCAGAGAAGTTGTCGAGGTGCAGAGAACTGAAGTGTTTTATTGTCAGAATGAGGAGGGAGAGGACCATGGTGCTGGGAGTCTCTGACTTGAGAGGAGATTGCTTTTGATCCAACTGAATGAACGTAAAGGTCTTCTCCAACCTAAATGAGTCTGTGATCTCCTTTTGGGGGATGATGCAGCTAAGTATCTCCCTGGAAAACACATTGCAACAGTACCATCTGGCCTCTCCGTTTGTCATTGCTTTCTCATGCCCTCACCCTCTCTGCCCATCCATTCACATGCTGCAGTAGAAAACTACCTTGTAACACAAGACTGAAATGAACTATCCCTTTTTCGCTTTTGATCCAACTGAATGAACTTAAAGGTCTTCTCCAACCTAAATTGCTTTTGATCCAACTGAATGAACGTAAAGGTCTTCTCCAACCTAAATGAGTCTGTGATCTCCTTTTGGGGGATGATGCAGCTAAGTATCTCCCTGGAAAACACATTGCAACATCTGGCCTCTCCGTTTGTCATTGCTTTCTCATGCCCTCACCCTCTCTGCCCATCCATTCACATGCTGCAGTAGAAAACTACCTTGTAACACAAGACTGAAATGAACTATCCCTTTTTAGATTTAGGAATCACCCAGAACTCCCCTCCTGCTTTCAGACTTGCTTTAATATTAGTTTGCTATATTATGTTAAAGTCCAGGTTGCATATTAACAATCCTTAACCTCATAAAAACTATGTTTGACACCTTCTGCTTCGTTTGTGTTTCACAGGCTGTGTGATGGCTTGCTACAAGAAATTTGTGCTGATGAAAGTTACTCATGATGGAAAGTGTGTCTGTGTAACTGTTGCATCACAGCTGGAGAGCTGTAAGCAATACAGGGAAAATACTACCCCAAAGACACTTGTGTTACTGTAATTGCATACTGATAAGTACCTAATAATCTCACATTCATATTGTATTTTTAAAGGGTGAACCAGGTTTCATTGGTCCACAAGGAGAACCTGGGTATATCTAATAATCTCACATTCCTCTCATATTGTATTTTTAAAGGGTGAACCGGGTTTCATTGGTCCACAAGGAGAACCTGGGTTGCCAGGGCTGCCAGGAACAAAGGTAAGGGTAATTGGCCAACAGTCTGGTGTGAAGCCCTTAGAGCCAATGCTGAATTCAACTTCCTCAGCACATAGCAGAGACTAAGACTGTTCTAACTGCCTAAGAGTCTTTATCCAGAAATGTAAAATGCTGAGTCAGAATCTGGTTTTATAAATGGCCAGGAATTCTGTTCTGGTTAAAACATGGTATATGCAGTGCTTGGAAATGTGGCAAGTCATAGTCCATGGACCAGTGCTATGATACAGTAAATGGCCAGGAATTTTAAAGTTCTGGTTAAAGCACGGTATATGCAGTGCTTGGAAATGTGGCAGGTCATAGTCCATGGACCAGTGCTATGATACACATGTCGTTGTACTCAAAAAATGTGAAGGCAGATGTTATATCCATTCCTAACTTAAGTTCATCCATTGCTTTTGTTCCTGTTAACATCCCAAAAGTTATTTGTTCAAGAGGCAGAATATACATGACTAAAGAAACTGTGTGTTGTCATAAATGTTTTTTGGAAAAAAAACCTCAAAAGCGTGTGCAGGTATTAGAACTTTGATACTACACACCAGACTCTGAAAATACAGATCCACTAAATGTGTATGTTTTTCTTTCTTACTATGGGTTTGGTTTTGGTTTTGGTTTTTTTGCCACTGTATGGCAAAGTTAGAATATTATGAATCCTACACCAGTCTCACAGTTTGAGGAACTTTATTCCAGTCCTTTCAGATTAGGGGAAAAAAATACCTTAGAGATTCCGTTGCCATTTTAAAGCCCTCTTCTCTTGCCTTCGAGAAGACTGTGTTTACTCAGGGGATAGTTCCCCAGCCCATTACAAATCATAGATGAACTCAAAAATGTTTAGTTCTGATGGTTTGGTTTCTTTGGTCATTCTGAGTTGTGGTGTGCTGAAGGCTGCCCAGTGTGTTGTGATGTCTGTGTCTCTCTTGCAATAGGGTGACAGAGGAGAGGCAGGCCCTGTCGGGAAGGGCGAGCGAGGTGAACCTGGAGTTCCTGGACCAAAGGTCAGTCTGATTTTACATTGGAAAGTTTTTGTTAGTTTTGCAGCTGAAAAATAGCACAAAACTTGGTGAGTGAGCTTTTGAATGAAAATGTTGCCAAATAATCCATTTCAGTCCAGAAGACGATGACAGTTTTGTGTTCACAGCCATGGACCTGCAGTCTGAATGGACTCTTATTTGGTCTACAAAGACACTACCTACACACACTGTCATGGAGTTGGCCTAATTCATCCCTGCTAAAGTCCTGACCTCCGGGTCCCTAACAATCAGCATTGAAGCTTGAACCACTGTAGTTATTGAATGCAGAGAAAATCCATTTTGCATGCTGTCTTCTAACTCTGTCAGAAAAAAGATCGTTCTAACTACATTTTAGCATTGTCTTAATATTTCCCACTGTGTCGATACCATCAAGTTTTCTTTTCCTAATACCTCTTGGAAAAAAGCAGAGAGATTTAGATTAGATATTGGGAAGAATTTCTTTCCTATGAGGGTGGTGAGACACTGGAACAGGTTGCCCAGAGAAGCTGTGGCTGCCCCATCCCTGGAGGGGTTCAAGGCCAGGCTGGATGGGGCTTGGAGCAACCTGGTCTGGTGGGAGGTGTCCCTGCCCAGGACAGGGGGGTTGGAACTCGATGATCTTTAAGGTCCCTTCCAACTCTAACCATTCTATGATTCAATGATTCTTTGCTCTTTGGCCCATTAGTTTGTATTCATCTGAGCCACTGAGAAAAAAAGTTGTGGTAATACTTTATTTTAATATCTTTATTTTAAGATTTTTAACTGTCTTCTCTGTCTCTTAGCTGTCATTTTTCAGGAGCTATGGAATGACATAGGTCACTCCTGCATACCAGTGTTAATGATGTCTACTTTTTGCTAATGCCAATCATACTTTTCCTTTGGAAGGCCTTTGCATGCTGGTGTGAAAGAATATATTACTCTAGGTGCCTTTACAGATTCATTATCTGGTGCCTTTACAGATTCATTATCTTGTGCCTTTACAGATTCATTATCTTGTTCATATAAAATGAAGTGTTTCTGCTGTTCCATACGGTAGTTAGTCATTACTAATTTCATTTTACCTGCACTCCCATTTCTCTATCATATTTCTTCTGTCTATCTTCCTTCAAACAGGGGAAAACAGGTGAACCGGGATCTAGAGGCCTCAAAGGGTCAAAGGTTAGTAGTAAAGAAACTGTCTTTAGTGGAGTAATTAACACAATGATTTTTAGGAGAAATTATTTGTGACGTTTCACAGAAACTTCACTTTACTCTTTAAAAGAACCTGTAACGGTCTGCAGTGTTCTTTAAAGGTGAAACCTTCTGACTTAGAGATTTAGCTATTAAAGTCCTGTGTGTTTTCAACACTTTGATTCTAGTTCTTTTTCTGTTATAACATCTGTTTTACTCTGCTCTGGTTTTCCTCATGCAACCTGGTTTATCTCTGTGGAACCAATGTGGTTTAGTCCTCACCCGTGCTAGGAAGCAACACCTGCCTGTGGAGATTTAGTTGGTTTTCACAAAAATTTTATGGATCCACACTTTGGTGAGTTAGGAACCAGTGGTATCCATGGACTGCAAGCTGAGATATGATGGCCAGAAGTTCTATGAAGGCAAGACTTCTAGGTTATGTTACTGCTTTACCTGCTTTAAAAAGCTACTTTGATTATATCCATCCATCCATCTCTATATAGGTATCATTGGTTCACATAGATGTAGAGGGAGAGATAAAATATATGCTTTCCTATTACTTCATCTGCTGTGCAAATACTGTGCTCACTAGACTCCATGTTATATTATGGAGTCAAAGTAAAATGAAAAGAGATTTGTTTAGGTGTTTATTGAGTCCACTGTCAGAGTAAAGATGATGAGACGATGCAGGATGGTAGGACAGTGTTTACAGTACTTGAAAGGTACTTGAAGAGCTGCCCATTCACAGTGTAAGCACAATTAACTAAGTGCCACGACCTCATTCATTCTCACCAGAAAGAAACATTGAAAAGTGAGGGAGCTGATTAAAGCATCAGAGTGAGAGTAGAAGAGTAAATCAGCCTCTCATTTGACTACAGTACCTGGGCACCTCACAAATGCACCAAAAAGATAAGGTTATTCCCTTTAATTCAGTTCCCTTTTTATCAAAAACAAATATACAGTTTTGATTTTACCTGCATACCTGTCTTGATAATCTGGCCCACAGAAGTTAATCTAGTAATTGGGATCTTCTAGTAATTGGGAACTTCATTTTTGAGCAGCTCCAATGATGTGTTCACTAGCTGCTGCCAAGGCAGCACTGAAAGGAAAGGCAGATGGCACAACCTTGATTATTTCCTGCCACCAGACTGCTCTCTGCATTCCTTCAATGGCCTCATGAAAGTTTTCTGGATTCTATGTTTTCCGTTACCACTGATGAATTAATCACTCTTCCCTGACTTGTACCAAAATTTTATAGATTTCAACAGGAGCAAAAGTTGCAGATCTTAGCCAAATTAATTTTGAGTAATAAAAAAAAAAAACAAGAGCTTGCTATGAAAATGACTGTGAAATAAAATTAATCATAATCACTGGATGTTGGTAATGAATGCATAAGTGTTCGAAATTCCCTCCATTGCTTGAAACATACATGTAACATATAAGAAAAAGCAGTGTGTAAGATGGTAAAGATTTTAAGCCTGTTGCATGAAGGGAGTAAAGGAATTCTGATGCTGACAGTAATATTGTGTTTGTAGGGGGGGCAAAAACTCAGAGCAGGGACATTGAGAAAGTGGAGAAGTGATCACAGAAAGAAAAGTTTATAGACTTTGAAACACAGCTTTGAAGAAGTGGTTGAGTGTTTTCAGACTGATTTAATTTCTCTGGCTTTCTTTTAAAGCTTTTGATAATAGTTCTATTAAGAATGTGGAAGTTACACAAATTACTTAATTGGTAATTTGTCTTTTACTGGTTCTTTGGGATTTCTTATTCCAACCCAAGACCTTGCTCTTAACAATTCACACAGAACTAAATGCAACATTGTCTTTCCTGGCAATTTTACCATACACAGTGACAGTGTTACAACCCTTACAACCCTTTTACAGTGCACAGGTTTTGAAGGATTTTTTCCTTTAATTAGTTAAGATCCACATTCTTTTTATGATGAACAGCCTTCTAAACTGGTTTATTTAAGGCAAACGTATTTAAAAGGGAAGAACTATGGGATAAATTGTGAAATGGCATATCCATTTTCAAATATCATTTTTACCTAGGGCGATACAGGTGACAGAGGTGACACAGGATCTGCAGGTCCACGGGTAAGTGTACTTCATGTTTCAGCTCTTTGTTTTGCACTGGTAGATTCAGGCCACACTATGAATTGAAGCTGTAGCAGCGACTCCAGTTAAACCGCTGAAACTGGTCATTTGACTCCAGTGGAATGGGTGTTGCTAACTGGTCTTTAATATGATTAACAGCCCTTGCTGCTTTTTGAAGCAGTCTCCTGTTCACAAGTCACATGCAGGATGTTACATGCCAGACTTTCTGACATTGTTCACAGCCAAAACAGAACTACAGTATTGGAACTGCTTCAATGTTTAGCAACAGAGGCTTCATATATTTTCCACTGCAGCACAAGTCCCTGTGTACTGACTTGCTGATTTATATTCAACTTTCTTTAATAATTGTTCTCCTTTTTTCCTGGTTTCAGCTAGGGTAGAGTGAATTTTTTTTCTAGTAGCTGCTGTAGTTTGGATTTGGTATAAGAAGAATATTGAGGAATATTGACAACACATACTGTTTTAGTTGTTGCTAGGTAATGTTCACATTAGTCAAAGACTTTTTCAGCTTCCCATAGAAGCTGAGAGGGAGCATGGACAGGACAAGCTGACCAGGGGGATATTCCATACCATAGATGTCATGCTTGGTACATGAATGGGGCAGGAATCTGCAGTCAGTGCTTGGGATGGGAGAGGCAATTGATCATTGGGTGGTGAGAGCAACTTGTGTTGTATCACTTTATTTTGTATATCCTTTTACCATTATTAGTTTATTATTATTATTATTATTCTCTTCCATTACTGTTCTATTGAACTGTCTTTATTTCGAGCCATGAGGTTTTTTCTTCACTTTATTTTGTATATCCTCTGACCATTTTTACTTTATTATTATTATTCTCTTCCATTACTGTTCTATTGAACTGTCTTTATTTCGAGCCATGAGGTTTTTTCTTCCCTCTCCTTCTGCCCCTCTTCTCCCTTCCCTACTGGGGGTGGGGGAAGGAGTGAACAGCTGCATGGACCTGGTTGCTGGCTGGGTTTAAGCCATGATACCTTTAGAAACAAACTTTAATGTTAACTTCTGTGGTTTGTTGTAATATATTTGAAGTACAACAAGATTCCAACACGGCATAATTAAGTCAAAGCATGTGTCTATAGTTAAGTGTCTAGAGTAGTCTTTGGCAAGTGTCTCAAAATTTTTACGGAAAATCTATTACAGGGACCACCTGGACAGAAGGGTGATCAAGGTGCAACAGAGATAATTGATTACAATGGCAATATCCGTGAAGCTCTGCAGGTATGCAAACATAATGAGGCTGGAGTGGCTTAGTCTGGTCTGGGAAAAAGCAGTTTGCCATCATTGTATTTCTCTTTTGTGTAGGCCTTGAAAACATTTTGTGTGCAAAGATTTGCTGAGCTTATTAATCAGGAACTCTTCCTATATTTGGAAACCAGGTTTGCTGTTTGGTGTTAGACAAACTGTTTCCTTGATACAGTTTAGCTGAGTGAATTAGTTTCATTTCCCCAGGAGAGTATTGACATCATTTAATGAGGATAAAGCTGATTCATTGCTGGCTCTGGTGCTTAGTGCTGAATTCATGTAATAAACCACATACAAAGGTTCAACAGGAGCGTCTGCTTTTCAGTTCATGTAGTATAATATTGACATTTCTTTTTTTTCCTCCTTTTCCTCCTCCTCTTCCTGCAAAATGCAAAGAGCAGAATGTTTGAGATTTGGAGACCATGTAACATGGTTCCATTAGCAAGCTGTGGATTCAATCAGCAACTTGAGTATGTTAAATAGACCAAGCGCCGGTCTTCCCGCTTATTCATTTCCAGAAAACTTATTTTGACTGGTGTGCAGGAAAGTGTGGAGGATTAAAAGGAGGTTACAAAACCAATGAATGAGTGTTTGCATAAAAGCAAAGTACCAAGGTGACACATGTCATTGCAGTCAAGGTGATTTACATTGCAGTATACTCAGATGCAAATGCTGTGCAGTATAACCCCACCACAGTGAATGGTTTGCTTATGTGCCACTTGAAGACTGAATTTGGCTCATTGTGCATCTGATCATTTTCTCACTGAAGTGGCTGAACTTTTTTTCTTGCATTTACTCAGTGGGAGCAGATAGATGTCTGGCCAGTCATTTGGTTTTCAAGACTCTTTTGGGGGAAAAAAAAAAATAAATCTCACTGCTTTTGCTAAAATCTAAAAGCCTGTATGTCATTAAGGCTAAGTCCACTCTTTCATTGTGAGGGGTGTCTACAGGGAAGTCTACATAGGTACGTTCTGAGGGTCTGCATTATATCTGTCTTATTTTGTTTACTTTTAAGGGAATTCAAACTCACAACTTCCAGTCTTTTGTATCACTCTCTGAGTTAGATGCCTAAAGTAGCTGAAAATTAATGTATCATATTACCAGACACGCATTTACCAGAGTCTTTAGCCTTTGTATATCCTGTATTATTTTTTTGTGTCTTAACTGTGGCATCGACGTTACTCTCAAGCTTCCTCAGAAAAGCTGCAGCGCATAAAGCAGTCTTAAAAAGCAACTAAAGCCTCTTGCAGTGACTGAAACAGATTAGGAGGCCCTTATCCCATTGCAAATCATTTCAAATGTCATCACCTTCTGATCCAGGGCAACAAATAATTGATATTAATGGGAATGGCTGTGCTAGGATGGTATAAGTAAGATTATACAGGATCAATCGATTATACCCTTGCCAAATCCAGCCTAGTCCTTGCAGATGGCAAGCACCCATTCCCAAGTCTCCTGGTGACAAATTCCTAGGGGCTCTGAGATGTGCAGCTCTCCCCTACGAGAACTTCCAGTGCTCAGCACTTCAGCACTGAGCTGTGAACTTGCACAAAATTTGGCCTGCTGATTGCAGAAGCTGACAAGAGTCTGCCGCCTGTCTGCTTTTTTAGAATTGAGTAATAAATCGTCAAGCAGCCTAGAAGCTTCAGAACATTTTAGTTACTTTGCCTTGTGCCTCCTACTCAATCTCATGTGTCAGTGGAGAATAGGACCTCCTGGTCCATCAGCACTGCAAATTGCAATCTTAAAATTGTCATCTTAGTTCGGGGAAGACCCCTGCTGAGTGTGCGTGGCTTTCACTTGGAGGACCAGATAGAAAATTCCTGTTTCTATGGAAATTGTTTTTCAGACCTATTCTGCAGAATTTCCTAAGGCAACAGGTAGTAGCTGCAAAAGTTTAACCTTTGTAGGAACTACAGGATCAGATATTAAAATCTGAATATGCTGCTGAAAAGGAACTCATTAGTGTAAACACATAAACATTGATTTGCGATGCCTATTTTAGGTTTTCATATCTAGATAAACTGAATTTTTCAGTATTTTTAAAGTTCTTGATATATTTCCACTAATATGTTAAAATGAAAAATAGACATCAATATATTAAAACCATGTGTTAGAGAACATATTTTTTTTTAAGTACTCTGCATTGAGCAGGTTCCAGATTCTTGACAACAGTGTATATTGTTTCACTGGCAAATGAAGATTCCTTTAAAGCTTAAAACAGAAGATTTGAAAATATTTGTTTGCATATAGGAAAACTAGAAAAGCTAAATGTTTCTTGTTCCATATAGGCCAGTAGGTTCTTCACAGTCAATAGCAAAGCACGTGCAAGGAGCAGTATTTGGGGGTCTTACTGTTTAAAAATATAGACAAGCATTTTAATGACATTTAAACACTTTCTCACTTGCTTTTAGACTCTTCTTTGGCAAAATAATAGTAGCAGGTCAAGATATTTTGCCTCTTTTCCTGATAAAAATGTCTTTTTTCCTTCCAAACATTTAAAGCAGAATTGTAGTATATAATGCAATACAATAACAATAATGAGTTTGAAGACCAGCAGTTTTGCATTTAGAACTTAACTCCTTTGTGCATCTGCATTTCTATATGAAAGTCAATGTTATACCTCCACTCTAGGAAATGTATTTCTTAATTAAACATTGGTGCAAAATCTGCAGAGATTTTGTAGAAATTTTTGCAGATATGCAAAACATATGGCAAACCCCTTATTAAACTTAAGATACAAACTTGTCATGTTTTCTTAAAAAGTTTAAAAAAAGAAGACTTTTGCTATGATTTTGCTATTTAGTTATCATTTATTTGATCTCTCAAATTGCACGAGAACCTGCAGTCTTTGCTTATGTAAAATCCTGATACACGTAGAAGCCAAGGGGCTGGTAGAACACTGAGAGTTAAAAACAACATGGGTTTTTACTGTTATTTTTTGGAGGCATGATGTCTCCCAGGTGCAGCTTAGGTTTTGTGGAGATGATCATTATAGCAAGCGGAATAATTTCTATCCTTGTTCAATTCTGGTAATGGTGTTTCTTGTTAATCCGTTTTGCCAACAGAGGATTGCCACCCTGACTGTCACGGTAATTCCTATCGCATGACTTCCTGTGTGTTGTGGAACCTCCCCTTCGTGTTGTAGAGTAGTCATCATTCTGCCAGTTCAGGACACGTCTTCATTGGATGTTGACCTTGGTCATCATCACATGCATTTATTTATTTATTTGCTTGGCATTCCCATAACAGAGAACCCATTGTCTAGAGCCACTCAACAATAGAACCAGTTCTGCTCCTGCTGAATTAATGGCAAAACCTCAATTCACTGGAGTTAGAGACCAGGAAAATACAGAACTCAGTGTTTCTGTAGGTACACGTCTAGGCCAGTAGCTGCTTTGGACTTTTTGGTGTATGTTCCCATCTGTGTGCGTCTACATGGGAGACCAGAGGAAACATGAAGCAGGATTTGAGGACTGTTTTCTATTTTCTGTTATCAACCTTATTTTCAGGGCAGAAACTGTTTTTTTCAAATTGGCTTGTGAAGAAACATCATTTGGGAGTTTTCAGACCAGATGCAAAGTATTTTCTGAAAAAGGCCTGTCTCAGTTAACTATAAATAAGTAAAGCTAAGCAGAAAGCCCAAGTGTGAGGAATTCTCTTGCCCCATCTTATCAGATCTCAGAAATAAAGATAAATTTTCCAGCACCTGTCCCAGAATGTGCGGATGGCTGAATGCTCCAGAGCTCTTACTCCAGCCAATTTCTGTGGGAGGTTTAGCCACATCAGGCCAGACACAATTCCTGAGGATACTGAGAATACTGACACCAGCTGGAGATGCTTATAGTATTGCGGTTCAGCCTTCCCTTGAAGTTGCAGGCTTGGTGTAAGCAACTTATTTTATTCTTCTTATTGTTTCAAGTTCTTCTCTGCCAGACTGCTGTTAGTCCTATCTTCCCACGTGTACAAATGGTCTCTGTGTATTAATGTAGGGGATTTTTAAATTTTATTTCTTTTTTTTAAGAGTATCCCCACAGTTCACCATCCAGACCAATAATTGATACATGGCGCTATGTCTGCAACCCGAGGTAGAAACGAAAGAAATAGTTACAATTTATTCCATGGCAATTTCACACAGCTCTGGGTATCCCCAAATGCACTTAAGATATTTTAGGAGAATCCTCTTTGCATTCAGTTGGAGGTTTCTCCTGAGCGTGGCTTGTTTTGGATCAGGATGTGAGCGCTCACAAATGTGGGTGAGATGAGTTTTGACCTCCCTGCCATTAAGAGGAGCTTTGCCACCTCATCAATGGGAGCAGCAGGACTTTATTAAAAGAAGATGAACTGCACTGGTTTTGTTATCATTGATTTTTGTGATACCCTTCTGTTTATTGAGAGTCATCATAAATTAACAACTTGTCCATAACTAGTCTTGGTTCCCCTTGTGTTAAAAATCTAACCCATTTTGTTACGGTACCTGTATTAACATTCAGCCTGTGTTTACGTGGCAAGTCCTGCAGGAATTTATTTAAAAGCTGAGAGGTTTGTATGTTTTTGTTTAGGGGCCACCAGGACCACCGGGACCCCAAGGGCTGCAAGGGCCAAAGGTGATCTTCCTTATTTTACCCATTGTATCTTAAGGCTGAAGGTATTTTCTGCTTCTTTTAACTGATGTGTGCACACGTATCCAGGGAGCTCTCCTGTACACCATGTTTAACTGTAATTTTTACCAAATCTGGCCCATGGATCTGCACTGAGGCTCTTCCCCAGGACTCTGTGACAATCAGAGTGGCTCCTAAGCATCCATCACTTCTGGCTGGGTGGGAATGAGGTAGACAAAACTGTGTGCAAAGCACCTCTGGCCAGAGTATATAAGGGCAGCTTTATATTACAGTGGTCCCAACCCAAATAAGCACAGTATTTTCTAATGTCAGTAAAAATTAAAACAGGCACGTGTGGGCAGGAGCCTGGCTGCAAACCCAGGTTTGCTAATCCCACCTGGCTGGTGCTGTGCAGAGGACCAGAACTCTTAGTGAACAGCCCACACAGAGACAATGAATACCATATGCTGTGCTGTTCTATAAAATTTAAATAATAAATTTGCCTATGCTTTAGAAAGGAAAAAAAAAAAGTGTTGCAGTTACTGGACCCTCCTTAATTGTTTTTAAATTAGTTGAGATAATTCTCCTATTTTTTTAAATACTGGATATATTGTATCTTTTATCAGTCACACGAAACTTTACCAAGAGTAAATATATGTTTCTTTAATAACAATACACACATTTCAGTTTTAGGCTTCATCCAAGGTATCATATGGAAATACATCACATTATACATGTTAATTGTTTTGATAAATTGTGAGAAACCAGGTTTATTCTTCTACATGAAACTTGATAATGGAATACACAGCTCAGTGTGCAGAAATGGCTTTCTGCATTAGGATCTACCCAGCTTTTCTGCAGCCTGGAGTGTATTGTAAAACACAGAGGAGATGGAGGATGGAAGAGGTTGTTGTGTTCCTTCATGTGGGTGAGCATTCCCATCCAAAATTAATGATGTAGAGCAGAATTCAACCTAACAGGAGTTTCTTTCTAATATCATAGTCTATACCCATCAAGGTAACTTGTTCCCTTGGAGACAGGGCAACGTTGTGAATGTGGACTCCTTCACTGGGTGACTTGTATTAGCCAGGAAAAGAAAACACAAAATCTCTCTCTACCCTACCTATATTGAGAGCTGTGATTCCATATTTATTACAGTAACTGACAAAGTTTCCATTGGATTGCGGTCTTTTTCCCAGGTTTCTGGGATTTCTTCTTTTTTTCTTTCTTCTTATGCACTTGTCTGGCCTTTATACAACCCAAAATACATGTACTGGCCTAAGCAGCAGGGCTATTTATTCAACATGTTGCATAAAGGTATTGCATATAGACCGTTCTTTTTGACCCAATATTCTCTGGTTTTATTGCTGCTAATTGTAGCAATTTACTAATCTCAGACATTACTAAGCAGTTTAGTTCATTTATCACTGCCTCTTTCCTCTAATGTCTGGGGACAACTGAGATAATCCAATTCCATCTTATCCTTTGCAGGGTGAACCAGGATCCCCAGGAACTCCAGGAGTTGATGGGGAGCAGGTACAGTATGCATAGATCATGGAGTGTGGGTCATGTGAGCAACCAGAGGTTATTTCAGGAGATTATTTATGTGATCCCAAGTTGTAGCTGAGATTTTATGATCTAAATAATAATAGGATAGTAGTTAATAAAGTTCGTTATTGTGTTGCTGCATACTCTGAGGTCTAATAATGGTTGTATTTCTAGATATCAACAACAAAAGTCAATCTGTAGAATGACTTACTCTGTTAGAATCAAAGCTAGAATTCTGTTGGTGTCTCTTTTTTTTACACAATTTACTAAATAAGTATGTATTTTAGGGTCTTAAAGGCTCAAAAGGAGATACAGGTGATCCTGGAATGCCTGGAGAAAAGGGAGGAATCGGACTGCCTGGCCTGCCAGTGAGTATGAAAAATGAATTCATTTTAGCTAAAATACTTGTATTTTTTCTCTCTTCCACTGTCAAGAATTTCCAGCAGTGCTGATAAATTGCAAATGGGACAGAAAGCACTGGGGAGGAAAATTCTGAGATTGTTCTGCAGCTAATCTAGGAGGAGGTGTGAGATGGTCAGAATTTTTCATTCCACTTGTGGTCAAACATGACATTGGTTCAGGAAGAGATGAGTTGGCAGGCTGATCAGATTTGTACCTCCCTTGTAATGTACAGCACCACTTGGGCAAGTGTAGCTTGTGGGAGAAAGGAGCTGTGTTTTGAACACTTGCCAGGAATTTCAGATGACTTTGATTGAGGAGGGGAGAGAAAATGCATCAATATTTACGGGATGCATTCACCCTGTTCCTATACACCTATGTATGTACAAGTGAAATTTCGCAGTAAATATAGAAACAATTCCAAAACTATATCCAAAGTGCAATATATCATGAATGGAATGCCAGTTTAAGGACTTGTGATAAATATCGTGCTACAATTGATAGCTGACAAATCAAAGCATACCTTTACATTTGTTAACATTTATTAATAAAGTAACACCAAAGTAAATAAAAAAATAATCCCACTATATGTCAGCTGTATTATGGTTTTCAAAAAATTACAATTACTTGCAAATAAGTATTATCATTTCTAGATTGAATGCTGATAAGATTAAAGCTGCTTATAAATGCTGTTTTGTAGGGAGCCAATGGTATGAAAGGCGAAAAAGGAGACGTTGGTTTGCCTGGAGCCCAAGGTCCTTCAGTAAGTCTCAGCGCGGTGTTGCTGTGAACACAGGAATCCAGCAATGGTGCTCCAGCTTTCCATTCTGAACAATACTTCATTTTCATGACTGATCTTTCCTGACATCCTTGATGGTTCCTACACTTGAACTTTCAGTGTTATTTTTCTTTTTTTTTTGAATAATCATTTGCCCTTTTGAGAATGGACAGATCTGGTTGTAGAGCTAAATACTGTTTAAGAAATCCTAAAGATATAATCCTCTTCTGTTCTATTCTCTCACTATGAACAACAGCCCTGCTCACTTCGGTGAAAGCTTTCTGGCTCCGTAATGAATCAAAAGATAAATGCTTTGCAAGATAAAACAGAGAGATAAAACTGATGGAAAAAAAACCCCACCTAAATCTCTCTCAACAGCTTGTATTCTGGGGATCTCCCAAAGTCCAGTGAGAACCAGACTAGACTGACTTCAGTGATGTCAGGAATAGTGACATGTAACCCAGGATAGAAATGAGTTTTGTGGGACCAGACATTCTCCTGATTTGTCAAAGCATTAGAAAGGCATTAAAAAAACCAAAACAAACCAAAAACCCACACCCCAAACCAAACAAAAACCCCTCCCCATAAAGACAGTACCTTTTTGATACGGATGTTAACATTATCAGAGCACAGTAAGTTAGGAAACCTCAGAACCTCAGAGCAGAAGTTAATTACCACTGCCTTGTCAGTGGTGACATGCCCTGGGTATCTGGAGCCGTAGTTCTGAGGTGTCAGAGTGGTTACCTCCTGCCATAGTGGGACATGCTGGGTGCACTGTGTCTCTAACTCTCTCTCTCAGAAATGAAAATAAATGCACTACAAATTAATACAGTAATTCATCTTGTTCTGCTTGTTTTCACTTGAAAAAAAGGCTTTCAGTTTTTGGAAGATGTGTCTGACATTTCAAAACTCGTTTGGTTCCGCTGTTGCCATCACCAATGGCTGGTCTAGCAGAGGGGTTAAGCAGGAGTGTGGATACCCAATTTTGGAATAGGAATTCCTGACCTGCTGCCACCTTTAGGATTAGGGATAACATCCCTTTAGGATTAAACTCGGGATGAGAAATTATATCAAACTGTAAATATCATCATGAAATTCTCTTCCATGGGTTTGTTAGGAACACAGAAAACCAACACAGAATATGCATGCGCTAAGTGCTGAGTAACCTCATTACCTGGATGTTAACATTGTCAGAGCACAGTAAGTTAGGAAACCTCAAAACCTCAGAGCAGAAGTTAACTACCACTGCCTTGTCAGTGGTGCCATGCCCTGGGTGTTTTTGGGAGATGTGTCTGACATTTCAAAACCCATTTGGTTCCGCTGTTGCCATCACCAACGGCTGGTGTAGCAGAGGGGTTAAGCAGGAGTGTGGATGCCCAATTTTGGAATAGGAATTCCTGACCTGCTGCCACCTTTAGGATTAGGGATAACATCCCTTTAGGATTAAACTCGGGATGAGAAATTATATCAAACTGTAAATATCATCATGAAATTCTCTTCCATGGGTTTGTTAGGAACACAGAAAACCAACACAGAATATGCATGCGCTAAGTGCTGAGTAACCTCATTACCTGTTTTAGTGATTTTAGGGAATTCTTGGTACAAGTGGGCTAAGTAAAATAAAAGGAGAGACAAAGGGCAATTTTGAAAATATGCCAAACCCTAGCTTGAATTTAGTATCTTTTCCATTCATCAGTATTGGGGAGGAATAAAATCACACATCATCTTCTTCTGTTTCTGTAGATTTTGTAATATAGGGACAACTAAGGAGGACATACCATAAAATATTAAAAATTCAAGTATCCCTGCTCAGTACTATTTGTTTTAGAGATTTTTTTTTCCCCATAGTGTCTTAAAGTGTATCTTAGGCCCTAGGAGTAAGAATCAGGAGACAGGCGTGCTGCCATATGGCACGGGCAAATCTACCTTTCAGGTACCCTGTCTTTTGCATCAAAATAATTCCCATTCCTAAAATCCTTTCTAGATAGGCTGTCGATGTGCACCATTGCATTGCTGTGTTTGCCTGCCAAGAGAAGGGTCAGTCTGTCTTTGTGAGGGAGTTCTTTACTCTACATGATTTAATGCCATTGTTTTTTATCTGCAGATGATAGGACCACCTGGACCACCAGGGCCACATGGTCCTCCAGGCCCTATGGTAAGCTTGGGAGGAAGAGTGGGGCTACAAAGGGCTTAAGCTCTCTTTGGTATTTGTGAGGGAGTTCTTTACATTATTTAATGCCATTGTTTTTTATCTGCAGATGATAGGACCACCTGGACCACCAGGGCCACATGGTCCTCCAGGCCCTATGGTAAGCTTGGGAGGAAGAGTGGGGCTACAAAGGGCTTAAGCTCTCTTGTCATTTTAATGCCTGCTTAATTGAAGTGCTATGAGAGTATGTGACCGTTAGAGAGGGACGTAGTTTAGGACCTTTTCTGCATGTCTTAAAATTCATGGGAAGTAGAGGAACAAATTGCACATGCCTAGGTCTGGTTCATTCTCTGAATTAGGTGTTTACAGTTGTTTTATTGACAGCTGCATTTCATTTGCGAGGACAAAAATACAGATGCAGCTTGCACCCCTATAAAGCAACAAACTCTTAAAAATGTGTGGCCTATTTCCGTTAATGAAAAATGGTATCTTTATTTTCAGGGACCTCATGGACTGCCTGGCCCAAAGGTAAATTAATGGCTGTCTTGAGTAGTCAAGTTCTTGATGTCTGTGAAGTGCCATGCTTTGTTCTTTAATGCATGCACCTATGTTTTGTCTTATGCCTCATGTAATAAAGGTTTCTGATATTCTTAAACCTTAAAGCAGATTTTAATATTAGCAGATAGTTTAAAAGCTTGTTAAATTTTCACTGATCGTTTCTGAACAATATTTCTCCTGAGCACTGGCTGAACCCAGTTTTTGTATTAATATTTGTGATATGGCACTAAATTATGTAGTTTCCTGTTTATGGCCAAGCTACTCATTCCACTTGCAATTAGAAGTACTTTTGAACATAGAAGAGTGTTAGACACTCAGGAAATGGAGTCAAATAAGCTCATGCTTCTTTATGCTCTCTTCCATCTCCTACTTGTTCCAGTACCAATGTCCTGATCAGGCAGGGCTTCAATACTATTTGAACATTTTCCACATCATAGTACGTGAAGATACACTGTGGGGACTCTCTAAGCCCATGAAAACAGCTGAGGAGGGGGGAAGCAGGTTTTGGCAGAGTTGGAATATTTAAATCTGTGCTTTAGTTCAGTAATCACTAGTAAACTAAAATTCAGTGTGACACTGTGGCATAGCAATCATTAGGGCCAGCGGTGTTGTCAGGCATGAGCATTTTAATCATTATGGCTCCCTAATTACATGCACCTTTCTCAAAAAATAAATAAGAGGAAGGGCATTTTTTTTGGTTTAGTTTTTGGTTTGGTTTTGTTTTTTGAAGGTGTGAGACAGAAAATCACAGGTTTGAATCGTTATGAGCCTGTTTGTGTTACCTTGGCGCAAGAAGCCTGAATCATAAATCATTTTTTGAAGTCAAGTCTGTTCCATCTTAGCACCAGCCCTGCCTTACCTCAGGCTTTTGGCCTGAGACTCGGGCTTTTGTGAGATTTCTCAGGTCTGTTTCCAAAACTTGAGCTTTTTCAGTGCTACCACTCTGAAAGTCACATTGAGTCAAACAGAAGAAGAATGAAGAAGTGGCTACTTAGGCAGGGTGCAAAGCAGGCAGATGAGGTCTGGAGTTACTTAAAGCAGCAGACTAGATTCTATTCAGATTTTTTTTTTTTTTTTTCAAATATGAATATGATATAAGGTAACCTAACACATCAAAGGGGAACCTAGGAACAAGGCCGTGGGGAGCAGTCTGGATTAAATACCCACGTATTTCTGTTTCCCAAAAGAGGCAGGCATGGTCAACATGCTTTTTGACTGGGCAGGCCTCGTGCTGAGGTAGTTTTTCCTGATGGGAGAATGATTTATTGGCAGTTCCAAGCCCACCATTATCCTCTTAGTGATGTTTAATGTAATAGCCGATCCATAATTTAACAATCACAAGAAAACAAGTGCCATTTCTTATGTTGTTTAAACTTCTCTCTATGAACACCGTGGACCTCCCAAATAGCTTGGCATTGTATTACCTATACTGCTTCTTTTAATTGGTTACTGTTTAATTATGTGTGCTTAAAGGTTTAAAATATCTTTATGTAAGGTTTTGCTGCAAATTCCAGTTTGCCATAAGAAAAAAAATATTGCTTCCTTACAAAATGTAATTTTCAGTGAGATCCCACTGGAGAAGCCTTCAGTTTTGAGGTTTATTCTTCTGAAAGTTTTCTTTCAGTTTGAATTATCTGTATAGGGTGTTTTATGGGATTTGAGGAAATTCCAAAAACCCCTGAAACTCATGCTTAATTCAAACCATCTAACTATAGTGATAATTATTAGGAAAAGATTGACAAGAATCTGTGACTCATAAGTTTCCTGTAGTTTTTTTTCACACAGATTTTAAATCTCCAGCAGACACCTCCCAAGTGCTTTTGCCCAGTGAGCAGTATGTAAATTGCCAGCAGGCTGAGAAGGTTGAATTTGTGTCCTTGTTTCAAACTGGAATTTGCAGCTATTTCTGAGACTGGCTTCTTATATCCCAGCTTAAACACCCATTACAACACCAAAAATTTGGCATTTATACTTTTACGTTTAGGGTGAACCAGGGTTAAATGGTCTTAAAGGATTGAAGGGTGAACCAGGTCAAAAGGGTGACAGAGGGCCCCTTGGTCTTCCAGTAAGTAAAAAAACCCCAACTATTCAATCTCAGTGCAAACTTCTCTTTCTACTCCTGATGAACAACTCTGGTTTACTCAACAGCATACACAGAATATACCATTTTAGAGCAGAGCATCAGTCTTGTTTTGTTTTGCCCCGAATCTTGTGCTGTAATGTCCTGTAACACCCAGTGCTGTCAGGTTGTTGTTACGTGTCAGTTGGAAGTGTTCAGTGTCACAAGGATGCCATCGCCCCCATTACATTAGTCATATTGTTATTTAAGTGTTGTGTGGTGTTTGCCTTGAAAAAGGAATCTTCCCTTTCCCCCCCGTCTTTTTGGTTATTCTTCCTGTTGGCACTTCTGCAGTTAAAATGGAGAGGTCTGACTGAGAAAAGTTAAAAATTGGTTTAGGGGATTTTATTGTATTTTTTTTCTCATTCATCAATGATGGTGGGTTGTTACCTTCACCTTGTTCTTTAGAAAATTTCCATTCTGAGTGTTTGGCATGAATTTTGTCTTAAAAAGAAATGAAGGACCTTAAAAATAAATTTTCATGTGGAACGCTGTGGTTCTTAAAATTAAGGTTGACAAAAGAGAAAATACTTTGTGTGCTTACTCTGTGTGTTTGAAAGGACTCTGAAAAGTTAGATTTATTTTTTCCTCACAAAAGAGTTCATTAGTTCTTTATTTCTTTCTCTTTTTTTCTTTAACATGAGGATTACTCCATGCGATTACATTGTTAATAGCAAAATGGAGGAAAAAGACGTAGTTGACCCAAAGGAAACCAAACTCCTCAGATTAATATTTTCCAGAATGATCAACGTCACTGACAGTTTTAACATATTTTGTAAAAAATTATCATTTTCAAGATGATAGTTACAGTTATGTAGAGAGGGAGCTTCGTAGGTCTGAGCCAACCTCCTTAAAATGGCTAAAAGAAGAAGAAAGTTTTGGTTCTGCAGTAAATGTTTATTCTAACCCAGAGCAAAATACGCCATTAGTTTTTAAGCTTTATCTAGATCTTGGCTTGCTTTTGCTTGCCACTTTTTCTGAATGTCATTTTAAGGTGCAAAGTCCAAGTATTTGACTTTGTAAAGATGGCTCATTTTCGCCTTTAATGAGGCTTTTTGCTTAATTTTCCTTTTTATTTTTTGGTATGGCGGGGGGGTTGGGGTTGGTTTGTTTGTTTTGTAGGGGGGAAGAGGGGAGTTGGCCCAGGTTATTCCCCGTGTCCCAACCAGCTTTAGTCCCCTCAGCCCCAGCCGCGGTGGGACAGATCTCTCGCTGCTGCTCTGTCATTCGCCTAAAATCCAGCAGAGGTCACGCCGTCCCCGAGGATGCCGAAGCAAACAGCCTGCGAGTGCCGGCTGCTTCCCACTTCCAGCCCCGGGCTCTGCTCTGAACTGGGAGTATATTGGGAAAACAGGAAATGGGATTGTCTCCCGGGCTCTTGGAAATGAATGAGGCCATTATAGTCAGGATCCAGATTTTGCTGGCTGCATAATGCACTATTCTTGCACTTAAGTACTTCCTATGGCGGTTAACGTACATTTTTCTTTCTTTGTGTAGTACAGTATTCAGTATTGTCATTATTTACAAACTAGAAAGCGTGCAAGTAAATTACAAAGCAAATATTTGCGTGTTAAGGCTCAAAAACAGCCTGACATCTGATGCTTGTAGCACTCCTATAGCCGGATATTATTCTGGTCTAATACACTGTGATGTGAAGGCAGGGGGGGGTCAGTGATGGGAGAAAAGAGAATCAGAGTCTTGATGTTTTCTGTGAATTTTTAACTAACACGCTGTAGTAACGTGATGCCCATTCCAGAACCCCCCTCACAACTTGTACTGTACGTTTGAATTGTGTTTATTCATCAGCACCACTTACTAATCTCCCGTTCTTGTCATTGGTGTGTTGTACCCATCATCCATGCTTCCACCTAACCACACAGGGAGCATCTGGCTTAGACGGGAAGCCAGGACCCCGGGTGAGTCCCTCGTCTTTCTGTCTCATTTCTTTGTGACCCAGTCTGTGTCTCCTCAGGAGCTCCACCAGCCATGGTCCCACACGGCACGGAGGAAGGCCAAACGCCACAGACATTTCCCATCCTGTAGAAGATGGGGCTTCCAGCAAACTCTTAGGGCAATGCGTGGGGGAAGGAGAATGTAATTCTCAGTAGAAGGAGCATGTTTGGTTTTGATTTTTTTTTTTGGTTGGATAACTGCCTTGGTTGGGATGCTTATTTTCCTGAGTAAGGTCAGGGATTTGGTTTACCAAGGAAAACTTCCTTATTTAAAGCTAATATGGAATCAGTGAAATGGATGCAGATGTGCTGGGGTTCTGCTGCAGGCATTCTTGAATTTAACAAAGGTGTTAAATTCTTTGCTTTTTATAATGATAACTGGATAAAGTGAAAAAAGAGTGGAGTTATGTATTTGAAGGCTTCTATAAACCTCCCATTGATCACTGCAAGAAGTATGTCTGCTTTCAGGTGGATATTTCAATTTTTTAAATAATTGAAGTTTAAAAAAAAAATCTTTCACCCTTGTTCTTTCAATAATTTTAAATCTTTGTAAATCTGATGACTTCCAAGAATAAAGTAAAATCCAACTAGAAGAAAGATGGGTTATCTCAGAACATGAGAGTTTATAGGGGGAGTCTCGAAAGTCTACTAGATTTGTTTGGCCACATCCCATCACAATGAAGTCTGAATTTTCAACTGGTGAAGACTGATTCCATGTTAGTTCTTGGCTAGAAGACAGCTATTAAGACCAAAGACTTGTAAAGAAGGAGACCTCTCTCTTACCCTCTTTGTTTCCTTCGTAGGGTGTAGATGGCCCAGTTGGTCCCCATGGCCCTGCAGGTCCTAAAGGAGACAGAGTAAGTGTATTTTCTGTGTGCTTCTCCTTACAAAGCGACTGCCACGATGGCAAAATGTCATACGGCTACTGAGAGTGTGCCCAGATGTTACTAAACAGACCAGTGTCTCATCTGGTTAAGAATCAGCCCTGAATTGTATACATGTTCTAGTTACACACACATTTATCTGTTGAAGGGTTGATTTTGTAACTCATTAACTTCAGAGGAGCTGCTGTTTTGTAATAACTCATCAGTAAGAAACTTACAGGACTTTCAAGTTCATGGTGCTGCACAGAGCGTAATTTTTGTCGGTTTCATTATTTTGTTTAAATGGATTGAGAGAGCAAACTGGGATAAAAGAAAATAGTGTGATTTGATTATATATGTATGCAATGGCAAAAAAAAGGGAGTATTTCTCACCTCTTTGCACTTAAATGTTTTTATCTTGAAAAAACCCTAACCTCGATAAAATTTGAACTTTTCTTCCTTTATTTTAAGCTTACAAGATAGGACCCCTCCTATTTCATTTGAAATATTCGCAGTAGATTTTCTGCAGTGGAGATGGGATAGGGACCTTAATCATCTTCAACAATACAACCATCAACTTGTACAACGAAACAAAAGATGATACCTTACACTAACTAAAACCTCCAAAATTCTGCCAGCCCAGAATTTTGTCTCTCTGAATTTCTCACTTGAACAAAACAGCTGTGCTAGAACAACTTCAGACTTGCTGTGTTAAGGCAGATGGCACAGGTCCAGTTAGCTTTACCAGCAGCACAGCTGAGAAAGGTGTATGTGACTCGATGATTCATTTTTACAGAGCTGTGTGTTGAGAAATAAATACAAGACACAGCACAGTCCGAAATAGGAACAGTAGACTGTAGTTACCACTCACACTAATTAACTATTTGACGGACTTGGATATTTTTCTTTTTCTCCTAGAGAATTACAGAGTCAAGTCCTTTTTTCAACCAGGACATAACTTTTTTTTCTATCAGCTCTGTGAAAAGATAGTTGAACATCATCTTCTGAACTTCAGGAGATAATTTAGATGAGATATACATGTATGAATATATAAATACTGTGCATTTTATTCTTGCAATATGAGCTTTTATCTTGAAGGATGTGTGTATGTGCTACGGGTTGAAATTTCTTTCAAAACCCATGTGCCACAATATAAACTATTCTTCTAGTGTATGGAACATAACTATAATTATTTTGTTCTTTTGAAAGCATCCAAAGCCATAATAAGTGTACAGCTGTTGACAAGCAGTAGTTACAAAGGGGAGAGGATCTGCTGTGATATAAAGCAGT